TATAAAATGCTGCATAATCACTAATGTCTACCAGTATGTGTATGAAAACTTGTTCTGTGATTGGAAAAGATAGGACAGGCAAGCCAGGTATTTACCTAATTTCATCCCCTGATGTATCCCTTTTTTCATGAATGCTCTAACTGTGGGATAAATAAGGTTGAACACTGTGAAAGCCATCTACTGCATGGCTATCAGCTTCCTCCCAATAGACTCAAATCAAGGAAAAGCTTCATGAGAACCACCACGCCTCTTAATGTTTTCCCAGCAAAAAGCAAGAGCCTCCCTTTGGGCAGCTAAACCAGGAAATCCCAATTGGATGGCCTCCATGAGAGTCTGCCTCCAGAGGCAAATCACGAATGGGCAACTAGGAAGTCCCTGAACAGATTCAGATATGGAGTGGGCAGAGCAAGGACAACCTCGCAAAATGGCACTACCTAAAAGAATCCTCATCTTGTGTGACTGTGGAACAGAACAGACAACTCCGCATCTGTATGCTTGTCTACTATGCTGCCTCATGTACAGAGAAAGAATTGTTCAAAGCTACAGGCAATGCAATCGCGGTTGCCTGTTTTTGGTCAAAAAATATTTAGCCGCTTCTGCTCCATCTATTTTTATCAATTTTCTACTTATTTATGCAATGATTTTGATACGATTTTAAAAAAATGAATACTCTCATGTAACCAGTGAGAAAACTGCTTGCAATATATTATTCCAGCCCGCTGTGACCAACCCGGCGGATAAACAAGTAGAAGCCTGTTGTATCTGGGATTAAAATACACTACAAGACTCTAGATTTTGTTCACTGGAAAAATTAGATGCTGACAAGGATTTTAACAGGGTGGCTACTTGCACCTTTGATTCCCCACATTACATTCCTCAAAAGGGGCTGTGTTCACAAAGTTTTGGCTTGAAGTAATGCTTGTGTCTCACCCCATGTTGTAGGACTTCATCTGTTGTTGCTTTCAGACGATTCTTCACTTCAGGTGAGTTGCCCATTTCCAGAAGCTTCTTGCATTCATCTGAAGATAATCCCGCTTTCCCTGCAGCCTGGGAAGAAAGAAAAAATTGAAGTCCAAAACACCTGGAGGACCAAAGTTTGGCCCATGATTGATATATACTCATGTATAAGTTGACCTCATGTGTTAAGTCAGAGCAGGCTTTGAAGCCAAAAATAAGTATTTTGATATGATCCCTGGAAAAGTTGGAGATCACTCCATGGAAAGGAAAAAGCACAATCTAATTATTATTATTATTATTATTATTATTATTATTATTATTTGTTGTTGTTGTTGTTGTTGTTGTTGTTGTTGTTGTTGTTGTTGTTATTTGTATCCCACCCCATCTCCCCGAGGGGAATTAGAGCAGTTCACAACAGTGTAACAGTGCAAACAATAAACAGTAAGAAAACTGACAATCAATTTAACATTAGATCAGCCAAAAATAACAATACCAAATTAATATGGAAGTAAAATAAAACATATTAAATTGACACTAAAACCATCACAAATAAGGTGTGATTATGTTATATAAAAGCAATTAAAATACACACACATATAAGCTTTGGATAGCATAGGAAAGTGTTAATGTGGTGTTTGTTTTGCTGTCTGTGCCCTGTTTGGACTTTCTGTCCTTGTGATAATTGGATTTTGAAAAAAAAAATGGTTGTCTGAATTTTGGCCTGCTGACAACATATATCACAAGCTCAAAGCAGCCACACTATGGAGAGAGAGCAAGAGAAAAAGGTAAGAAACTTACTGCCAAAATATTTTCTGGCTGGGTAATATCTTCATCCTGGAGGGATAAAGAGTAACAAAACTGGTTACAAATGTTCTGGGACAAGAGGCCAACTATGCAAAGAATTCAAATGTCAAAGTAACTATCTAAATTAATTAGCAAGTAAGAAAAATTACCCTAAAGAAAACTGATAGGCATGGATGATGCCATTTAATTTTCCTCCATGGAAGTGGAAGCCAAATACACACATTTTCTTGACTTAATCTCTTGATGTAGTAACTACACAGAAATGAAGAGAAGCAGCCTGAAACTGTAGATTTCTATGAGGAGGGTCTCTACATTTTAATGTCAAAATGACTTCTACTTATTTACTTTTACCAAGGTCAGACCTCGACATTTTGTAATCAACAAAGCTGAACAAAGCCCATCGAGCTCTGCTCACTGTCTACAACAAACTGATTTTGCATTTTGACAAAAGGAGGAACAATATAGGCGGTTTTATTGAATCCTCCAATGAATTCCATTCAATGGGATATTTCGCATAATTGATTGATTGTTGTGCAAACCTAGCCCAAGTAAATTCAATTCACCCCTCTCCCCCAGCATTCAAAAGAAATAATTATATAGGGAACGAAACAAGCGATTTTGTGAACATGGATACTTACCCGGGACCAAATGCGCATCCAAAGTTCTCTAGACACAGCCTCTACAAACTGAGGTTGTGTTAAATCCACAGCTGTGACAAAACGCATAGCGGATAGACTGCCTATATTTGCGGAAAACAGATAAGAGCATCAGAGTTTGCATAAATGTCAACAGAAAAAGAACCCTATTGCTACAAAAAAAAAGGAGGGGAGATGCTGACTACCCACGAAAGATTACTACTACCACATCAGCTTTAGATTATTAAATATGGTTTTCTGTGGGTGAGGAGATGGCAACTACTGGATGGCATATGTGCTGCATCAGAAACTAGAGCTGATGTGGCCTATCCAATGCAGTTTTCTGAATCAGCACCCTGAATAACCAAATCAAATCTAAAGTTGATCAAAAACCAATTCGCAACCCTTTTGGGATTAATGTTGGAGAGTAGCCCCTGGTCAAGTGATTCCCCTGGTCAAAAAAGGTTGGGAATCACTTGACTAGTGATATTGTGGCCAATTCTTCCAATAACTAAACCATTAAGTAGCCTTTTTCTGGGCACCCAAGTTCAAGACAGATATTGACTAGGCCTGGGTAACAACGGAAAAATTTGTTTCTAAAATCGATTTGTATTTGGGGGGTTTTTTTGTTTCGATATTTAAAATAATTACAAAATTTTCCTTTTAAAAAGTTCGATATTTACGAAATTTCGTAAATGGTAAAAAATTAACGAATCGATTTCCGAAACAATAACGAATCGATTCGTTAATGGCGGACGCGACCGCGAAATACGCTAAAAAACCTCCAAAACCTTCTGAAGCTTCCCTCTCCCTCTGTTGTTGACTGTTGGTGTGATATTATAATTTTTTTTCACTAATTAAACCATAAAACTGGCCCAGACATGCGGAAATAATAACGAAACGATCTCAAAACAATAACGAAACGAATACAATATCGAAATACGAAGCATTTACAAAACGTTTTTGAAAATTCGTTTTTTTTAATAATTGCTCCAGAATGGTTCGTTATCGTTTTGTAATTGAAAAAATTAACGAATTATTTACGAATTACGAATTAACGAAACGAAACCGCCCAGCCCTAATATTGACAAGCTCAAATATTTCCAAAGGAGGGCAACTAAGAAGATCAAAGGGATTGAAATCGAGTCCAGTAAAGAACTATGTAAATGCTAGGTACATTTTCCTTTGATAGGTGAATACTGAGAACCATATTTGCATATCTGAATGTAATATAGAAGATGAAGTGAATTTGTTTTCTACTACTCTAGAAATTAGCTTTCACTGAAACATTAGGAAGACCTAATTCCTTTACTGTAAGACAGTGGAATAGACTGTTCATGGGGTGGTGAACTCACCTCCTTTGGAGGTTTTGAAACAGGAGTGTTTTCATGGCGTGTTCCTTCATGGCAGGTGTTTGGACTACAGGTCCCTTCTAGCTACTTCTAACTGCAATTTGATGACTCTTTTCTTACCTTTCTCAATAACAGTCCCTACGAAATCCTTGGGAAGTTGCAATGGCACCTGGCAGAACTTTGCCATCCGACTAAGATCCTTCGTCATGTATCTCCCTCTGTTTGGAAGCAATGCCGGGGGCTTGTTACCTGTTAAAAAGGGGTGGGATCTTTATAGAAGAAGAATATTTCAGACACAGACAAACATTACATGTCATTATCTTTCATTCCTTCACATGCCGCATTATCACGGGGTGTCTGCGCCCTACACCACTGGAGAAATTACACTGCTTAGCCGGTATTGCACCACCTGACATCCACCGGGAAGTAGCAGCCAATAGTGAAAGGACCAAGGCAGAGACATCTCCAGCTCATCCCCTGTTTGGGTATCAGCCAGCACATCAACGACTTAAATCTAGAAATAGTTTTCTAAGATCTACAGAGACACTCGCTGGAACACCTTAGAAAGCAAGAGTCCAAAAGTGGCAGGCTCAAACCCAGAACCTCAACCAATGGCTGATACCAAATGAGAGACTCTCCCCTGGGCACACAGAGGACTGGGCGACTTGGAAGGTGCTGAAAAGACTGCGCTCTGGCACCACAAGATGCAGAACCAACCTTCATAAATGGGGCTACAAAATGGAATCCTCGACATGCGAGTGTGGAGAAGAGCAAACCACTGACCACCTGCTGCAA